AATTTCAACGTTGTTTCAACGTCGAAACAGTAACGTCGATCCAATTTGCATAGTCAACCCTTTTTCAACGTCTATCCAACGTCTGGAAGGTCATTTCCAACGTTGATTCAACGTTGGATAAACGTCATTTTGCCCGCTGGGTAGTTTCTGGTTAAGCCTGTATAACCCATACAAGCTAAACGATCTGAAAAATATAGCCAGAGGGTGCCAGAAAAATATCACAACACGAAAAAAACATGCACACCAAGTGAACAGTAAAAAATCTATGCATGACTATGTATGCATATGCACCCCCCCCCCCCCTCACTTTGCTAATGGTCCTTTCCTAACCATGACTTACGCCAGTTTTCCACTTCAATCTATCGTACCGACACGCAACCTCGTTCCCAGGCTCTTTGAACGAGGTTGACCGACACGTAGCATATTTCTTTGTTTCCTGAGCACTAGAGTGGACTAACTAATGACTTCGACACAAACCAGGCTTTTAGTCAAGAGTAGGTTCCTTGATGATTAGGGTTCGGGATTGTTTTAGGGTCATGCAGGCTTTATTTAGCCCATGTCATTTCTTTTCTTTAATTTGCATATCTAGTGTGTATAGGACACGAAAATATAACCGCATTTTCGGTGTAAACGAAATGTACTATATAGATGAGTTAAAATAATCTGTTCGTATTTTACTTTGTTTAGATTGATAGAAAAGTGTGAATGTGTCATGATCTACAGTGCTAGTGGAAATGATTTGTTGATGTGTAACTAAATATATCCATTGTGTTTGTTTCATTGTCACTATCATGAAATCGTGGATGTGTTATTTTGCGTTTTTCATAAAATTATGGAGCCAGTTTTGTCTTGCGTTTTATACTGTAATAAACATTGGAATCCTGAAGGATGGTGTGATGCAGAAATAGTATAATGTGCTGATTTGTTGTTCCAGGGAAAATGCTTCCTGGTTTGCTTGTACCATGTATTTTTAATACGCTTTTGTTGAGTAAGTTTCCTTACTGTCTGGTATGTGCTGAATGTGTTGTCGTGTGTGTTGTGCTGTGTCGTGTGTTGCGTTGTGTTGTTTATGTTATATTCAATGATGGTTATATTCAATTGAATATGTTGTGTTACGACAACTATCCTGATATATCTTTTTATTCAGATCAATATCGGATGTGGAACCGGAATATTGAATACTCATGCCAGTCATGGGTTTTAAGTTACTGTAGTTTAAGAAAAAACGAATTTTCCTTTCAAGTATTCATATTCAGTCTCACCGGAAATATCCATTTTTTAACTTTCTTTTTTGAGATATTATGCTTTAATTTTGGAACAAATGAACTATATGTCATATTTATGTTCATATATAAGAATCAGAAACATTTAAGTGGGCAGGAATATTGAATATTAAAAAAATATTCCGCTTCCACCCCGGAATAACTAAGACTGAACATTCTTGCACTTTGAATAGCTCGCGTATATTTTGTAGCGAGAAATCTTTTCGCTAATTTTGCAATTTGATTGTATGCATATAATGTAACTTTTACTGTATCAATTACCGTTTTTCATAATTTGGCGACATGCAAGTGAACATGAAGAACAAAGACCTACAAATTGACATTCTTGTTTTGTAAAAAAATAAATCTTGCTCTGTAGAAAAAATCGATCTTGTTCTGTAGCCGTGATTATGAAAAACTCGTCCACATGCATACGATAGCATAACTTTTGGAAAAAGTGGAAATATTGTGTTGTTGAAATAACTCTGGAAGGCACGTTTGGCAAAGAGTAGGCGTTATTAATTGACGGGCACGAGAGAAAGGCGGGCAAAGAAAAGAGATTGGAGGCGTAGACGAGTGCATGGTATCATGTATTCCATAGTTTTCCTAAATATATGTCCTGTTTATGAAAAAAATGCCCCATCCTCGTCCCCAGGCCCAAGGTCGGGCGGATGAAATGCCCTTATTCAAAAAGAATTTTTTTAATTTGCCCTATACAGGGTGTATCAAAAAAAACTGAACAGATTTGAAATTGCTCTCAATTTCGCAAAACACCTATTTGTATCCGGTTTTTTATATATATATAGCTTCTTTGGGTACTTATAATGTAAAATAATGAAAAAAAATTCTCGAACTCAAATTTTGTGAACCAGGGGGGGGTGTCTTTTCCAACAAAATAAAAAGGACTCGCGCACAAAATTTAAAAGTTGTAATCATATTTTGAGTTAATAGATGGAAAATATGTCGGGTTTTTAATTACTGTACAAAATTTCAGACAATTTGGTTTAGTTTAAGCCCTTTAACTATTCACCCAAAATTACATTTTTCATAAAAATCAGCTATTCGCATGCTTAATTAATGCCTTTGCCTAATTTGCATATGTCATCAATATGCAAATTAGGTAAAGGCATAATTAAGCATGCGAAAGGCTGATTTTCTAGAATAAAATGAATAGTTAAAGGACTTAAACTAAACCAAATTGTCTGAAATTTTGTACAGTAATTAAAAACCCAACCAATTTTACATCTATTAACTCAAAATATGATTACAGCTTTTAAATTTTGTGCGCGAGCAATTTTTAATTTGTTGGAAAAGACACGCCCCCCCCCGTTCACAAATTTTGAGTTCGAGAATTTTTTTTCATTGTTCTACATTATAAGTACCCAAAGAAGCTATATATATAAAAAACGGATACAAATAGGTGTTTTGCGAAATTGAGAGCAATTTCAAATCTGTTCAGTTTTTTTTTATACACCCTGTATATGTTGCTTGTACAAGCAAACGTGCTTTTCTGCAGTTATTTCTCTTTCGTTTTCCAATCTTTATGCTCTTTACTCTTTAGGTGCATGAGAAAAATATTTATTTTTATAGATTCCTATTAAATAATTATATATTTGATTGATAATTTGCACATTTGAATAGAGCACATAACATAAATTCATCAAAAGGAGTGTGTGATGTGAATTGTCTCTTTATTTAATTAAGAACAACTTGTTAACAAGTTTCAAGTTGTTCGTAACAATTTTGTAACCGATCTTGACAGATTTGCAACAGGATTGATTATTTGCGATTGTCGGCATAAAATTATACAAATATTTAATGAATATTTATGAGTGCAATGGTAACTACAATAGTGCATGAGGTGAAAGATGGAATGTTCCATAATGTTCCATTGTTTTATATAATACCAAAATAAACTAATAGATTCGTATGAGAAGCATTTTGACGAATGCGATTTATCGAAAACACAAATGGAACGTATTCCATTCACTCAGTGATTCCAATGCACTCTTGGGAAATGAATTTTCTATTCAATATCACGTGACTATAAACAGCCAATTAAACGATCAGAATTCAATAAGGTATTATATAAAAGAAGTAGAAACGTACTTTATCTTATATCATCTTGGAAACATTTGGGTTGTTACAAAACATTCAAAACTTGCATCAATGGCTTGCCATCTTACAAGGATATTCTTTCACTGTCAATGTGAAAATTCCTCGAGCGTCACACTTTGAATCGTGATGCGTTGTGATTAGGCTCAGATTCCAGCCGTTGGGTTTTCGGGCGAGACTAACTACTGTCTGTGTATTACTTATAATTGGCAAGCATAATTCCTGTTAATTTTCACCTTTGGCTCTCGAACTTCTGGGAAAGGAACGTCTCGGGGTACAAGATTGGCATCCATTAAAAGATCGGAATTTCTAAAAAAATATGTTAAATTGATTGTATTAATAATGGCAGTATGAGGCTCGGTAAGAAGGTTATTCTTTCACTATTGTAAGGTCCCGAACTCAGAGATCGGTGGTCCAACCTCGTTTTCCAGGCTTTTTTCTAACTAGTAATTGACTACACCCACCACGCCACTGACACTGACCACACCCTAATGGTATCGCGTGGTAAATAAGTAATTAAGGGCCTGGTACTGACAACTTTGAAATGATCAATTTTACTTTATTTTAACTTCCTATAAAATTCTTGTTAATAAACTAAATAAAGGAGAATAGTTTAAAGAATAGTTTCCAAATTGGAAAGTAAAAGCAACAAAAAATGCCGAGAAAAAAATGAAATAAAAATTACTACAGCATTATTGGAGGATGCGGGCATCGATCCCGCTACCTCGCGCATGCTAAGCGCGCGCTCTACCATTTGAGCTAATCCCCCTCTTGGCCATTTCTATGTCTAAAATACGGTTATAAAGATTCCGTATGAGTGGACTGTTCTTTGTCTGATCTGGTTTTGTATTTGGCAAAACTTTGACAGGTTTTCAAGATGATGCCAAACAAAGTACAGCAAAGCAATCAAGCATAATGAGGGCTTTGAAATTCTAAGGTAATTTTGCAAATAGTGTACCGGAAAATTTTGATTGTATTTATTCATATATTTCAAACATAAAGTGTCTTTCTTGTGAATATCTGTTTATTATGACGCTGTTACATGATGGCGAACACAAAGCAAATGCATGTCGAAATGCATAGTCAGTTTCCCGAACGTAAGTCCGTCTGAGGCCGACTACTTTGTAAAACACTTTATTACCCAGCTATTAATCCAAATTAATTTTTTTATCTTTCCTAGTGGATACAAGAGAGAATAAAATCAAAATGCGGCGAGAGCAACTTAGAGCCAAGGCTGAGGTTTGTGATTTGTTTATCATATTAATTCATACACAACTGCGTTTAATATCTATTTTTCAATTTCCTAGAGTGTAAAGGAGAAACTTATCGGTCAACTACAGGACAGTTTTAATTCAAGTTTAGATAATTTGCTCGATGATTTTCTGACAGATAGCGGCGATGGCTCCAGGAATGGAGCGAAGGAGCAGGTGACCTCCTCCAGAAAGTAAGTCTACTAGTCTATAAATGACTTGAACTTTCGATCTTATTTAGATTTGTGCCATTAATTCTCCAGGTGCTTTCATGGATGAATCGAAGTGTACGATCCCCATACGTTGTAGCGCTGTATAGAACTGCCTCGTTCTTTAAAAGTCACTACTAGTCTGTCCTGGGATAGTCCAATTAAAAAAAGGTCTTTTGGGTAAATAAAACGACTGATTTAAGCCCTGAAGAGTCAGAAATATGGGAGTTGATGAGAGTTGAGAAGCGAGAGTTTGCATGAGAGAGAGAGAGAGAGAACTCTCAACTCTCATGGCCTCGTGAAACAAGAACAAGAGTTGCATGAGAGTTGATGAGAGTTGACTGGATATTACTAAATATCCTGAGTCAACTCTCATCAAACAGTGCGATAGAGAATACTGTGATCCTGATCATTTGACTGTGGCTTTGTTAAAGAAGTGGAAATTCCAGTCAATAAAGAAATATATCCATTGGGCTATTTATCCCTAGTCAAACGAGGATGAGAGTTGACACTTGTGTGGGCGAGAGTTGGACATGTCCAAATGCATGCACTTTATAATTATCTCTTTCTTAACACCAGATGATTTTATTTCTCAGTGAGCGAGTCATTAATGGGTTAAAGCCCAGCAAACAACTATCAGTACACATACTGTAGTACCCCTCCCCCCCCCCCCCATTTCTCAATGGATTTAAAAATATATTGAAGGTGGTCTTTAAGATCATGCACCCATGCCAGAGACTACTAGCATGGAGTACCTGGAATGCACTGTCTGGCCCCACGTCTGCACCCTGACTTTACCACTGTAATATTGACCCTTGATTCTTACTGTGTTACTCAACATAATTTTTGTGGGGGTTTAGTTTTGTAGTTAACCCATAAGTTGCATTACTGTATATATATGCCCTAATGCACCCTGCTTTATTATTTACTCTGTCTATTGCCAGACAATTTTACTTGTCAAGGGGGGAGTGCTGGTGTTCCAGCATGTGTCTAAGTAAAAATCGAGTTAACTGGGCCATTAATTAAGTTGCATTGTGGTGCTAATGCCCCTTACTTTATTATTTTACTTTGTCTAACACCAGACAATTTTACTTGGCAAGTGGAGAGCGCTGGTGTTTAATGGGTTTAAAATGTTGTTTCTAAAGTTCACACTGGGCTGGCGCCACTTAAAACTTGTCCGATAAAATACCATTCTGTTACAACTCTGTTGAAAGTGAGTGTTAGTTGTAGTTGATATTGTAGTGGATGATCAAGTAGACGTGTATATTCACATGTATGTTGTCTAAGTGTACAATGAAGAAACATCTGCCACATGCACATAAAAACATAGAATGTGATATTCTTAAGAATAGATACTTAAATTAAAGCAATTTAATTATCCTGTATTACTCATCTCAGGAAAAATATTCAAAAGTGTTGGGTTGTACAGTATCTGTGAGTAGACTTAATTGTAAGTATATATTATTTTAGTCTTTGTGTTTAGGATTTATAGAAACTACATATATCAGTAAATCATCAAAATTTTGTTATTTAATTTGGAATTATGAGATTATGAAGTAAACCACAGTTTGTCTACTGTAAGTGAGATAGGCAGATGGGTACTGTTCAATTGTTTTAATGGGTACTGTTCAATTGTCTGTTTGCTTTGATCAAACACCTGCAACCTTCTCAAGCCTAATATTTGACTCCATTATTAGTAATTTATTCTAATATTCAGAAACCTACTTGAAGTGAATGCATGGAAGAAGGTTTTTAAAAAATTGACTTATTTTTTAACATAAGTTAAAATTAAAAAATAATTCACTCAGTCTGGTTTTCATTGCTGCCCCTGGCCGCCTCAAATACTTTTCAAATATTCTTATTTGTCAGTTTTAGTAGGTCAGTTTATGATAGTAGGTCAGATTTAGTAGGTCAGACAGAGAGAGTGAACTAAAAAATAATTAAATACATACATCATCTGGTTGAATGATAAAATGCATTATCTTGTCTAAAAGACTAAATAGCTTGCCTATGCTGCAGCAAAGATCAAAAGAAATAAAACTGTCTTGTAGTTTCCAGTTACTACAAGACAGTTCACAATTAATTGATTATGTTGCAATGTGCACGAATGTGCCCCAAATTTTAACAATACATATTACAGGCGATCTTAATATTATTTATTTGCACAGTGCCAATGTTAACATGTCATGATGAATATGATGCTCTTTCAACATTAATTCTTTTCCATGCTAACTGTAAACAGACTTTTTTGTGTTATATTAATTAATGAAAAATGATGAAGAGTAAGGCTTAACATTTTTTATTAAAAAAACGACGTTTACTCCTTCATCAGGTTCAAAGACTTGTACAGTATATTGTCTTGCGTGTTATGTATTGACTATTGTAGTCTTTTAACCTGATGCTGGAGTAAACTCTGAAACGTTGTTTTTTTAATAAAAAATTTTAATTCAATGTTCTTGGTCATTTATAATAACACAGAAAAGTCTATTAATAAATGAGGAGTCTATTGAGGAGTGTATTATTAAATATTTAACTGCAAATACTTTATAGTTTTTTCCCCCTCGGCCTTGTTGTGTTTGTTGACTCCTTAAGGAAGTCCTCTGATATTACAACCTCCCAAGCAAGGGTCTTTTACTTCCGCACAGCGCTACAGCCAAGCACAGGTAAAAGACGCTGGCTTGCGAGGTTGCCGATATTACTGATAACGTTGTATTCAAGGTTTTAAATAAAAAATAGAACATAAATTTCGTGTTTCCTTACTTAATACAATAATTATGTATTATATGTAACACTTGAAATCGAGTAATATAGATTTATGTAGACTATAATGCACAAAGTACTGTAGTCTGACCAGGTTCCTGGTAGTAAGGTTGATTGTGGAGTTTCATATGAGCCATGTCAGGCAAGTGTATAAAAACTATGACCTGTATGGTACAGTAATGGCAGGTTCACTCTATCAACGTTTCTGTGATCACAGTAGGAATTTTGCGTAGTACGTTTTGAAGGAGAATTTACTATGATAGACAGTGACCAGTGAAGGTCATCTGTAAATTTTCAAACCAGCCATCTTCAGGGGAGTTGCTACAGGTAATAGCGGTAATAGCAATTCATTGCAGCGTCATGATTAAAAAGCATTTTTTTTTTTTTTAATTAATATTTAATTTCAGGAAGCTTTCTCACAAAATGATTTTCAGAAAGGTCCTGAACTAAATAAACTATTATACAAGAAAGACATGCATATACTACATAACTATGAAAAATATTAAAAAATTATACAAGGGAAAGTTCAAAGATTGCTAAAAAAGTTTCTCTTAAATGTAGAAATACTAATAGATAGTTTTATCTTTCTGCCCAAGTTGTTCCAGTCTGTTATGGCCTATGTTATGTTAAGTTGTTCCAGTCTGTTATTTTTCGTTGTTATTATATATTATAATATAGCATTTGTAAATTCTGAACGCTGATTGGCTAAGAGCCGTGTTGATATAACTCCATGTCAACACGGGAAATTTTCCGCCGCTTGTAACACGGAAATTCTTCTTATTCTTCGGGCTTTTGACATTGCTATATTATCCAGCTGAAGAGGAATACAAGAACAAATGAAGACGAAGTCCATATCAACAAAAGATCAAAGGTGGACGACACAGAGGAATCCGATGTGTCTTTCGACATAAAAGTTTTGCGGCCAACAGAGAAATGTAAACCTGGCATCACTACTGTGTGTGATGTATTGCAAGAAGATACCAATTCGGTTGTGAATGTTTGTGGTCGTATTACCCTGCAAGGTCCAATACAAACCATCATGTCCAAGGGCAAGGCACTACGGAAACAAGAGGCAGTATTGACGGATAATTCAGCAACTATCCGCCTTGTGCTGTGGGAAAATGATATATCCAAAGTTTCGTCAGAATCCACATATGATATATCGAAAGTGGTGCTTAAGGAATACGAGAAGGCAAAGTATCTTACCTTAAATAAGTCATCTACCATCAAGATATCGCAAAAGTCAATAAGCAGGCTAGATACCCCATCAACAGAAGTGTTATCGAACACACAATGTGTTACGTTCCCGGCGAACGGAGTTTTATCTTTGCAACGATTTTCATCTTGCCTAAGATGTCAATCAAAATTGGTACCAAATGCCTCCAAAAAAACTGTAAAGTGCACCGAATGTGGTCTGGGACAACTTCAAGCTAGCTGTCAACAGCGTTTGTTGGCAAATGTTTTATTTCAGAAGGGAGCAAGTTCAAACAGTTTGCTGCTGTTTGATGACAAACTAAAACAATTATTCAAAATCTACCAAGAGCAGACTAATAACACGCAAACTTTTGAAACTCTAGATGATGATGATATGATGGAATTTTTGTTAACCGTGGCTGCGAAAGTGTTCTATAATGGAAAAAAGAATGTGGTTGCTATTCAGAAAATTTAACATTGAAATTGAACTTGTAGTCGCATATATATATATATATATTTTGTATACTTTACGTATGCATATTCTATTGCCAGTGCTGGGACAGTGGACACTTAATTCCTATCGCACTTCTATTTAAAGTTCATTACTGTTTTGTTGCCTGTTAAGGTGTTTTGTTGGGTTAAATAGATGAAAATGAAAGACTGTACATGTGTCTCTAATATTTTTTGTTTGTCCACACTTAGCTTTGATAGTTTGTAGAGTGGCCCTGTCTGGGCCAACATTTTATATTGGGAAGTGGGATAGGAGTGCGCAACCAAAAGAAACAAATTGTCACCTGTCTTGCAATTATTTAGAAGCATTCTAACAATTACCTCACCCACCCACTAACGGTCCTTGACTTGCTACAGAATTTTCAGTCCATATATTTTTCTAACGTAATCTATTTCATAGCTAAAATGGCTCCCGCAGCATTCCCTACCTTGCAGGTAACCTAGTATATTATAATATAGCATTTGTAAATTCTGAACGCTGATTGGCTAAGAGCCGTGTTGATATAACTCCATGTCAACACGGGAAATTTTTCGCCGCTTGTAACACGGAAATTCTTCTTATTCTTCGGGCTTTTGACATTGCTATATTATAAAACAAATATAAAACATTTTTCCGTATTGATATATAGTTATATCAACACTCGTGGAAGTTGGGAAAACTCGAAATTGTGTGAAAACACTTCGCCCTTCGGGCGTCGTGTTTCCACACAATTTCTCGTTTTCCCAATTTCCACTCGTGTTGATATAACTGTATATCAACACGGAAAATGTTTTATATTTGTTAAATATAATATAATATAATATAAAGGTAAAGAATTTTTTATAAGTATTTGTAATGCATTGTAATGCATAAGTTGACGTGTACATTTCAAGAACGACTAAGAGTGAAACACTTGACGTTCTTCATTACCTTCCGTTACCTTCCCGCAATTGACGTTTGATATTACGTCAAAGGAAGATGAATAATAATGATGTTTTACGCTAATGGGGCAGAAAATAGTTCATGTAATATTAATAGAAATCAGAACTAGTTTTGTGTTATTATTAATCAAGTTTGATGCCAGTTATAAAATTAGTATATTTTGTAATTTTACTTTAATGCATAATTCCTAGCTTTCACTACGTTTACTTGCCCTAAGTGTCCGCCACTGTTCTTACACAAGGCAATTTTCGATTGTGGGGTATTACCATAGATATTACCTATATACAGGGAAAGATTGTCTCCAGACGCTATTTGGTGCTAGCCTCCTCCGCAGGCATCGCCTTTAGATTATCGGGCAAAATTTCTTGCAGGCAAAAATATTAATCACCGACTTTCCAAAGTAAGTCCCACGAGATGCCTGCGGAGGAGGCTAATTTGGTGCATGCCTTGGCTGAACTATCGAAAGTGGCGGGAAAAATAATGATATAGAACTGAAAAGTCAGTAAAACGGCGTCAATCAGCATTCGAGTACACTCATATAATACTTTCCAGGAGTGCATCTTCACCAAGTTTAAGTATATTTATGCAGTCTTACAGAGGTCCCGTCAGTCAAAATTAATGTCGTTTTGTCGCACTGTAGTGATTAGTTTTAATTTTTAATTTGTAGTCATATGGACTCAAGAAAAGTGTTCAAAGCGAGACAATCAGTACTCACGTAAGTTCTAACATGCACCATGCATGCACGGCGAATATTGAACCTTGATGTGTATTGCACAGTAGTTGCCCGCATGCATTGTGCTTGGGTTAGCCTGCAACTAAATTTTACTCAACTACTGCAGGCCCCCAAGAGTTGTAAGTTAGGAGATCGAGGCGGATATTCAGCCCTTGGCAGTAACGTCACAACCATAGATATGGTCACAACACATACTGTTGAGGAATTGTTTACCGTCCGCCATTTTGGGCGTGCAAATATTTCAAACCATTAGCGTTTAAAGCCAGGCTGCCTTTGTTTGAGAATTCAGAGTGGCCATTTTCTGATACGAATAAAGCCATTTCCGTGGCTGTCCAGAGTGCTCCCCATGGTTTTTGTCATTCAAAATGGAGGATTATTTAGCAGGAGGTAATATAATTATGCGGCTGCAAGATTAAAATTATATAGTATCATTTTTAGACCTACAGGTAACCAGGAGCAGTCGTGAAAATGCAACTGCTGGCTCTGGCAGGAAAAAACTTCCAATATAAAATAATTTTTAATAGACTTTACCGATTATTCTCTTTTACCCAATGGCCTCGTTTCCATATTAACTTATTTTAGCATGTCAGGGGCAGATCAAGATTATATTCCCATGTTTTCCTGGGCGAATTTGTTTCTTGCTGTTCTTAGGCTCAATAACAAAGTAATTTTCAATCCTACTAAGCACAAAACATGAGTAAGTATTTGACATGAAAACGAGGCCATTGGGTAAAAGAGAATAATTGGTAAGGTCTATTGCCTTATATTATCATATTATATTATACAAATAATGAATGTTTATGAGTGCAATGGTAAGAATATTTTCATGAGGTGAAAGATGGAATGTTCCATTCAACGAGGCGACAGCCGAGTTGAATGGAACATTCCATCTTTCACCGAATGAAAATATTCTTACCATTGCACGAAGAAACATTCATTATTTGTTTTATATAATACCAAAATAGACTAATAGATTCGTATGAGAAGCATTTTGAGGAATGCGATTTATCGAAAACACAAAGAGTGCAACTGTACTATACGTTTTATTCCATTGCATTCGCGGAGAGTGCAATGGAACGTACGTGTTCCATTGCACTCTTGGGAAATGGAATTTTCTATTCAATATCACGTGACCATAAACAGCCAATTAAACGATTAGAATTCAATAAGGTATTATATAATATATATTATCTTTCTTTTTCAGAGATCTACTTGAAGTTTCTCACATTCGAACAATTTACAACATTTTTGTGGCAATACTCATTGTCTTCAGTTTAAACACGTTGGCCTATGATTACATTGAACATGGCAGGTACGGCATATAGTAAAGTATAAGCGTGGTCTGATTAAATTTGCCATCTTCAAATAGGTGTTTCGTCATTAGACATTTTTCCTCCCTGAACCTAATACGTCAAGTATACAGGGTGTATAAAAAAAAGCGCAATCCTCGACTGAAATGTAAATTGCTAAACAAATAATAGACGAAAACGTTAAAGTTTACATTCATTTTAAAGCGTAGCCATTCAGCTTTCTAACAGTGGGTTGTTTCTTAAATTTGACTCATTGGTTCGCGGGTAATAATACTTTACGTTATTGCGATTGGAGATTAAAAAAATTGAGATGGAATAACAAATCATTCTCATGAAAATAACTGATTTTTTCATTAAAACAAAAAAATGTTGCATTTTATTAAATGGATTGTAACAATAAGTATAATTACGGCTTTTCTTCCACTATTTTTAACTCAGTTTGAAACTTCAAATGCGATATAATTTTGGCTTGGACCATCTAAGCTGACTGACTTAACTTGCTATAATTTCTGTTTACATAACATCGCAATTCGATGACACTCTGGCTCTGACACCAGAATGTTTTGACGATGTTTAGCATTCGTTTAGGATTTTCAAACAACCTGGTCTCTTTTAAAATACTTTTAATTTGTTCTTACGTGGTTTTCCAGATGTAGTGACGGCAACATTAAAGTTTAAAGAAGAAAATTCTAACATTTAAACCGACTAAACAATAATATAGTAAACTTGCATAATTAAACAGCAACTAAAAATGATAGGTTTTACTAAATCTTTTCCCGTGCAATTATTACTAACATTGGAGACAAGGATAATAGTTTGTTTGAAAGAGAAAAGAACAGTTTGAAATAAGCCTAAAAGCGTTTAACTAGAAAGAGTATTTCGAAAGTTATTAAGCACAAAGGATGAATTGCGTTTATTTTGATACACCCTGTATAGTTACTGTAAATACAAAACGTTCTGCAGATTATTCTTTATTCTTTTCATTGTACCTGTAACTATTTGTAAATATTTTACACGCCCATTGTGGAAACCAGCTTTATATAGATGACAATGTTAGCGTAGTTAAATAAAGTTATCATCATCATCATGTATATGTTTCGGCATCAGTGCTTGGCAACAATGGGATGGCACTGAACTACATAAAAGCTTGAAGTGTCATGAGTCCTCAAACGACCACAAGGGAAATGAGCTTTGTAAATGACATCATAACAAAAAACGCAGCAGAGTCGCGACCAGAACACGATCTCCACTCTGATTGCGTTCCATTTGCATTCCATTTCGTTTGAAACACGTTCGAAGTTGCATTCTAATTTGCTTGCAATCTGACCCGAACTCGTTCTAAACGTGTTCCGGTTACACCCGTAATCAAATTGGCGATCTCCGAAATTTATCGCCGTTTTCAGTGCAATTCCAACACTAAGCCTAAGGAAAACAGTAAAGTGATTAGTGTTTGTGGGTCGTTCTTCAGAAAATTTGTTCTATACTTTCATTATGTTCATTGTTATAATCAACCAATCACAAAACCTGTTCTTATGGCTTCGCGATGACCCAAAGCCAAAGGATTAGCCTGGGTGCAGTTCCAGACCTTCTGAAACGAGTAATTGATTGGACAGCCGGTTAAATAAAGACCAGGGTCTCTAGAAGCACATTCAATTATCTTGTTAACTCTAGGTTGGTGGTAGATTTCTCAATTTTGACCTGGGCATTTGGAAATACGTCTGTGGTAGTGGTCACGTGGATACTAATGCAGTTACAAGTACTTCTGGCGTATCCATTATTTATCGCCTGGGTTTCCACCCGTGTTACTGCGCCGAAAGTTGTTGATCTTATTTGGTTGGGAGTTTTTTTTGTATATCTGGCCATCTTGTTTATATTTCCTCTCAATGACATATTGAGTAATAAACTACCTCCTGTGTCTAGGGTCATTATTACTATGGAGCAGGTATGTTTAAACCAACCTACTGTTATTGTAGCTGGTAAATACGCTGGCTTAGTACGCATTTGATTGGTTAATCGAATATATGAAACGCATCTGATTGGTTATTAGGGAGCTTTAGCAGTGACTACGAATATTCTCGCGTGTTGTTTGCTTACGCCATCATCTGTGCCATCATGCAAAACTCGTAGTCGCCGGGCTTTTGAGTACGAGATGGCATAAGCAAACAACACAAAGTTTGGCGCGAAAATGACGAATGTCGTAGTCGTACTCGTAGTCACTGCTAAAGCTCCTCAACAGTCCATTAACGGTAGCGGTAGTGGAAGCCAAATCTCTCTAATATAATAGAAAGAACAACCGTTATTTGTGTATAATGATATGCTAAATGGGCTAAATGCAATCAGGGCGTCTATAAGAATGGGCGGTGAAACGCCAGTGAAGCAGCTGAAACATGTGTGATGCACTTTAGGCCTGGGGCCCAGCGTGCACAACAAGGAGTTCTCGAAGAAAACAAAAAATTTAAAATTTTCAACAGGCTTCAACGAAGATCTTGCTAAAGTCAGTGAGTGGTTAGTAGCCAACAAACTTACTTTAAACCAATCTAAAACAGAATTTATGCTAATCGGCTCCCGTCAAAGGATTAGTACTTTCAACTCTAGTCCTTCACTGACAATAAATGACGTACCAATTAAACAAGTCTCTCACACAAAGTCATTTGGTGTACATTTAGACGAGAACTTGACTTGGAATGTTCATATCGAGAAATTATGCAAAAAAGTCGCTTCTGGCATAGGTGCATTAAAGCGTATAAGGCCATTCGTCCCACCTTCCACAATGCAACTTATTTACAATTGCTTAGTTCAACCCTATTTCGATTACTGTTGCGTTGTCTGGGATAGTTGCGGCAGTACTCTTGCGAATAAACTGCAAAAACTCCAAAATCGAGCCGCTAGAGTACTTACTTCATCTAATTATGATACAAATGCTGAATATCTAATTGAAAAATTGAGCTGGAAAAACCTTGAATCTCAGCGAAAAATTGCCAAAGCTATAATGGTCTATAAATCTCTTAATGGTTTTGTGCCAGACTACCTGTCTGAAATGCTTGTTGATCGAAGTAGCGTAACAAATTATACATTGAGAGACACCAGTAGAAAATTAGCTTTAGCTCAACCACGCACAAATTACCTGAAAAATAGTTTTAGCTATAGTGGTTCTGTGCTGTGGAACTCCCTTCCGGTTGATTTGAGACAGTCTAACTCATTACGTAAATTCAAGTCAGACTGCAGCAACTTTATACATTAGTCAATAATTTTAGATTTTTATATTAATATATTAGCACGGCACTTATGGAAAACAGGTATTCTTGTAATATATAATTAGTATTAGTATAGTATGTATACATAATTAGTATCTTAATTAACTTTTATATTCTGTAATCTGTAACTACATTGTATTCTCTTATCATCTTTTATGTAAAATCCTGATAAGTCTACCGTGGGTAAATAAAGTTCACAATCAATCCCTAATTCATACTTCGTGGCAAACTTGAAATTGCGCTTTAATATAGTACGCGGACATGACGAGAAAACCGCTACAAAACTGCCATTTAAACTGATGGCAATTTCCAATTCTTCCTCGGTCAAGCAGCCCGCCATCTTGAAACACGAAAATGTATAAATGAAAACGCTTTCGAACAACGTGGGGGGTCCGCGCATCACACATGTTTCAAAGCTTTCACTGGCGTTTCACCGCCCATTCTTATAGACGCCCTGATGCAATGATGAATAGAACATCGTACCACTCAGCAAGCCATACCCATACATCTACCAAGAAACGTTAACGTATAACGCTACAATGATCACAACGAACATAAAACACTACATGTGAATCAGCTGTGAATATTGTTCTCAGGACACATTTTATAAGACACAATTTGTGAATGTCACAGTCATTGCGACACCTGCATTCTTCTAGTAACAATTTGTTTTTTCCTATTCAAGATCCGTTTTTACATGAAAATACATTCGTTTGTCAGAGAAGTTGCCCCACGTGTTATAGCTGCAGATAAGCGCAACAAAGGTACGTTCATCTTCCATTGCATGAACCTGAGTGGCATGGGGAACTCATGACGGGCAGGGATGGCTCCTGTTGGCGAAGGGGAAGAGGGGCAGCCGCAGTGAGGGGTACTATTTTCATATTGGGGAAGTAGTTGTAATAGTTTGAGATATTCATCATATACGCATATATACAATGAACGCTAGAAAACTGTTTACAAATTAGGGGGAAAAACATCTGCTAAATGTTGTAAAAATGCATATCAACTCCGACCATGCAATGTCTATTTGAGGAGTTCCTCTAATATTGGCAAAACTGAAGGAAGCCTAAATACTTTTATAAAGAGTGCTATACCTGTACTAAACTGTACTAGCCCAAGACAATGTTCTTGGTAGATCACATATATATAGCATCTGTAGTGTAATTTGATGAGTCTTCCCCTTCTTACCGCGTCCATAGCGTTCCAGCGTCCTTGGCTAACAATTATTTTGCGAATTAGCACGGATGTGGTTAGCGTGCTGTTCCTACTTTTAAATTATAAGCTTGCTACTGCGGGATCGAGAGTAGGGATTAAACTCAGGTTGAGCAACTTACCTGTGCTCGAACAACTCGTGTAAGTAGAGTTTGGGTGTTTCTGTCTTGTGCTACGAGGGCTTCCTCTATGTCCTCTGTTTTTTTTACGTCACGAAATGAATCGTAAAATAACCAACCCTCTGAGACCTTTGTCAAGTGGGTTGTAAAACCTGTCAAGGCTCTGAGTGGTCAAACATTAAACTAAGACACAATGAGAGACGCAACAGCAAGAGTTGTTATTCCATGTTTAGGTGTTGATAAAAAGAACAGTGATGATGAAAAAACAGATGATGAAGGATATGACGATGATTCAATCTCAAATAACAACAACATTCCTGGATTTAGTCAGTTTCTCTACTTTCTTTTTGCTCCAACTCTTGTTTACAGAGATTCATATCCACAGTAAGTACAGCGCATTGATATATCAATGGTACAGCGTTTAGTCAATCTATAGTAAGTACAGCGCATTGATATATCAATGGTACAGCGTTTTGTCAATCTATATTTCGTTGGCAGAAAACCTAGAATACCGTTGTCGGGAATGACGTTAGAGGTTGAAGTTTTAGTTTTCTTCAAAAAATCACATTAAGACAAGGTAGGTGATTTGTGATTTACACAATACAATTCGAGTTGTAAGCAGGTTGCATGTGACAGTTTTAGGCAAAGATTGTGTAGTGTAAATCGGCCTTTATAAATCGCAAAATCACTCACAAAAACTACCCCCAAATGACAGGTTATCGCATAATCACTAACTTATAACATGACTGTATTGAAATCAACTTCATTAAATTAGTATAACCACAATTCTCAACACTATAATTCCATGTCCAACTCTTGTCTATATACAGAGGGAGCCATATCCGCAATAAGTAGCATGTATATCGTCAATCATTTCCACAGTTATTAACATTTCATTCGCTCGATATCTGTTTAGTGCATGGATCAAGTCCAAAAAGTACCAAAGTACAAAAAAAACCAGTTCGAACGATCTGTGCCAGCGTAGGTAGAACTAGCCTGCGGGCAGCCCCATACCACGTAATGGTATGGGGCTGCCCTCAGGCAAAGGTAGAACCGAAAACACCAGAAAATTGAGATGGATTCAACTCACTGAAAAATACAAGTAAAACTTTCGACTGAAAAATTTGAGTAAACGGTCCCACAATGACTCAAATATTGAGTAAAATTTATGAGCAAATGTACTAATTTTTTTAGTAATGTAAATTTGAAACTTTAGTCAAAATATTTAATAAATTTGATCATAATGTTAGTAATTTCGCTCAAAATTTTGAGTCACCGTGCGTGCATTAAGCCTGGTTTCCATATGGTCGTAAAGGTCGTGAAAATAGAGTCACGATCTTTCTCAACGGCCAGTTTATTATTGTTTATACCTGTGAACCACATATAAATCATAAGTATTATCTAGTCATAATCACTCCGCGTATTTTCAGTTCTAAAATGTTTTATTTCGGTTGATGAGAACTATCTTGACAGACGTGACTCAATCTTTACGATAAGGAAAACAGGCATTATTTTACTCGTGAAAATTGCGCCAAAAAGTTGACTTGCGACGAACCTTTCATTTTGATACACGAATACACCCGGAAGTATTCCCGGAAGTACGTGAATTTATCAACCTCTTGTCAATCTACGCATGCTCACCAGTACGTTTCGGTACGATACGATTGAAGTGTAAAGCAGGCTTTAGTTGGCTTTAGTATTTGATTAAGATTTAGATTAGAATTGTAAGGATAACGGTTAAGGATTAGGATCAATATGAATATTTTGAGAAATCGCTGTGCTATATGAGAACTAAAATTGAACTTCTCTGTCTACAGTAAACGAGTTACCAAACTCGCCTTTTGGAATGAAAATCTGTCTACAGTAAACGAGTTACCAAACTCGCCTTTTGGAATGAAAATCTGCATGTAAATGCCAGAAAATCTAAATTTTACCTGTTAGATTTTTTGTGTTCATAAAGTTTATGGTAAGATAATTTTTGAAATTATGAGTGATCTATTACGTGTGCTTGTGTTTCTAGAACTCCCACGATCCGCTGGAGGTACGTCGTTACCAACTTTGCACAGGTTGTTGGTTGTGTTTTCTACACTTACTACATTTTTGCTCGTTTCTGTGTGCCTGTTTTCAGAGATACTGGAAAAAATCCTCCAAATTTAAAGTAAGTTTGAGCTATGCGTGAAAGCTATCATGACGTTTGCTCGATGATTAATTTATTAATTATTATAAAAAAAATTCTAATAAAATCAATAGACCACTTTGGCGGTTTTGCCTTAATTGAAAACACGTGCTCGGAAGTTCCGAAACTCGGACAAACATGGTGGAACATGATATAGATTCTATACACAGTACGCAAACGTTTATCGTATTTACACAATAAATTCTCTTGTTAATTCCGCCAAACCAACGTTATGAGTACCCACGCTAACTAGTTGAAGTCCGCTAAGTTCATACCTTTAAATTTTTCTTCTTGTAACCCTTTATTTTGTGGAATTGACAAACGAGTTTATTGGTTAAATACGCGAAACTTTTGCGTATTCTGTGTTGATAGAATTTATATTACGTTCCGCCATGTTTGTCCGAGTTTCCGATCATTCCAGCTCATTCCAGCACGTGTTTCCATTTAGCACAAAACCGCCAAAAGTGATCTATTCACACAGCAGCAAGTCTCATATGAAGTTTTTTAGCGGACAAAATATCTGAAATGTATCAATCGAGTTTATGCGCTATAAATTGATGTTATGTGCTATACATTGATGTTATGTGCAAATACATCGATGTCATAAACCGATGCAACTAAAAGATAAACCGATACAACTAAAAGATAAACCGATACAAATAAAAGATGAGGAAACGGAAGTAAATACCAATAAAAGATGAGGAAACGGAAGCAAATACCAGTAAAACATGAGGAAGCGGAAATAAATCGGAAAAACGGAAGTTGAGCGACGCGGCGACGTACAACAATGGCGTCTCTTGGACTACGCATTTGGCTTCCTAATACAGAAAACTCTTTTCGTGAATTGGTTGATTTAATAAGAAATGCTGATTTTTATACAAGGATTTTTATTGTCGTAGATTAGAAGAGTATAAACGCAACATTGAGTCGGTTTTAACTACAAGAATCACCGAATCATAAACAACGGAGCAGTTTTTAATCAACAATCTACACATACTATGTACTTATTTAAATAGTTTACGAAATGAATTGGACGTTATTGTTGAAAATTATGAACGGACCTCAGAGCGCTTTTCACTAGAAGAGTCTTACGATCGTGCGGTTTGTGTAAGAGAGACAGGGCAGAATACCAAATGTTCAGGATTTTGTTCAGTCTATCTTAAGCGCGGTGACGAACTTGCAGCATTCTTCGCAAACACGTGAAGAAAACGCATCACAAGGTGCCAGTGCAGTAGAATTCACATCGTTACCTGAAGAACTGAATTCTCGTTTCCGAATGGCCACCTACTCAGAATTCGTGACTGAAGCCCCGTTTACACTACGCTCAATTTTTGGTACGGTACGGATAAAATTGGTACCCGTACCACTTTTCTGGTTCTTGGACTACCTATTTAAGTAGTCCAAGAACCAAAAAGTGGTACGGTACCAAAAATTAAGCGTAGTGTAAACGGGGCTTAGCTAAATAGGTAGTTAAAGAACCAAAAAAGTGGTACAGGTACCAATTTTATCCGTGCCGTACCAAAAATTGAGCGTAGTGTAAACGGGGCTTGAGTACCAAATAATGCGTCTGGGCTGCAGCCAGCTTTTCAGGGATACTGAATTTTACACACATGACTATCTCTTTCTCTCACCTTATATATTTTACATGCCTCCATACAAGCTTTTTAGTACAGGGAGATCATACTCCTTGAATATGATCAAATTTTTTTACACCACAAGATATTTTAGGCCTACCGATACAATTTCACACACGCATCTCCAATTTTATGTTCCGAAAGTCTACGTGCACCTATACACTTATATTTCTTAGGTTCACATTTATACATATACAAGTGGTTTTTTATACTTTATTCTCAGGCTTATCAAATACAACATTATTTTCACAAGCATAAATTGTGCCAACAACACGAGGCCATCACACCATCATATTTCACACTTGGCATATTGTGGCATTGACTTATGTGGTTAATTGCTCTTCTGTGACTTGTATTCTTGGCCTACCAACGAGCCCGTTTCTTTCCGCCGTACAAACCGTTTGCACGATCGTAAGACTCTTCTAGTGAAAAGCGCTCTGAGGTCCGTTCATAATTTTCAACAATAACGTCGAATTCATTTCGTAAACTATTTAAATAAGTACATACTATATGTAGATTGTTGATTAAAAACTGCTCCGTTGTGTAAGATTCGGTGATTCTTGTTGTTAAAACACTCAATGTGCGTTCATACTCTTCTAATCCACGACAATAAAAGTCTGGCGAGTCACATTGAGTGCGACTTTATTCAGCATTTCTTATTAAATCAACCAATTCACGAAAATAGTTTTCTGTATTAGAAAGCCAAATGCGTGGTCCAAGAGACGCCATTGTTGTACGTCGCCGCGTCGCTCAACTTCCGTTTTTCCGATTTACTTCCGCTTCCTCATCTTTTATTGGTATTTGCTTCCGTTTCCTCATCTTTTATTGGTATTTACTTCCGTTTCCTCATCTTTTATTTGTATCGGTTTATCTTTTAGTTGTATCGGTTTATCTTTTAGTTGTATCGGTTTATCTTTTAGTTGTATCGGTTTATGACATCGATGTATTTGCACATAACATCAATGTATAGCACATAACATCAATTTATAGCGCATAAACTCGATTGATACATTTAAGATATTTTGTCCGCTAAAAAACTTCATAGTCTCATTAGAAGATCTAAAGGACACGTGTTAATATTTATGTTTATCTAGACGTTTTATACTCTCCGTATTCAATGCGATGTTGCCGGGAACTCTAGTGTTAGTTTTGGGTTTCTTCTGTATCTTACATTCCTGGTTGAATGCTTTTGCTGAAATGCTCAAGTTTGCTGACAGAATGTTTTACCAGGTATATGGGAATCTTTTTCAATTATTTAAATATTGGATAAGGTTTTGTGAAATCACGAATTGTCGAGGCTATTACTTTCCTAAGTTTGTTTATCCTAACCCACTTTGTCAACTTTCCCTGTGGGAGGAAACCGGGGCATGTACTAAAAGGCGAAACGTCGAAACGAAACGACCGAAACGAAACGGCCGAAACCACCGAAACGACACAACCGAAACGAAACGACCGAAACGAAACAACCGAAACGAAACGACCGAAACGACCGAAACGAAACGGCCGAAAATGTAAATTACAGGAAAATTGAAAAATGCGGATACGGACGGACGGACGGGAGGACAGGCGGATGGACGGGAGAGACAGGCGGATGGACGGGGGAAGAGGCGGATGGACGGGGGCGACAGGTGGATGGACGGGGGAAGAGGCGGAT